TTTCATATGCAAACCAACCAATCCAAAGCCCATATCCCCGACTTCCTCCTTTATTTAATTCTCATACACCAAGCCAGTATTTCCCCTGTTCTAAATCACCCCTCCCCACCCAGGGCCAGGTACTGGACAACTAGAGACCACCGCTATCGACCAGAGCCTACTAAAAATATTCAAACTATCCAATCCCAAATTTACTTAAACTTTCATATGCTGCCTCTTCCATTCCTTTCTGCAGAAACTACAATAAAGGCTCTGGGCCATGCTTTCTCTTTCACTCCTTCTGCCTCCAGACTGACCCTGGTGCTTCCCCATGTGGCCCTGCATGGTGTGGCATGCTCCCTTTCTTTGGGAACTGTAAATAATAAACTCTTATTTCAAAAGCAGTTGTCCTTATGTCTTTCACCTTACCATACCTGATTAAAACACATCCCAGGTGTGAATCAAGATAAGTACAGTTGAACAACGTAGGAAGTTAGGGGCACTAGCTTCTGTGCTGTCAAAAATTTGTGTGTAACTTTACAGTTGACCTTCTGTATCCACAGTTCCACAACCACAGATTCAACCAATCACATATCATGTAAGTACTGTAGTATGCATTTACTGAAAAAAAATCCATGTAAAAGTGGACCTGCACAGTTCAAACTCATGATGTTCAAAGGTCAACTGTACAGTATTGTTTCTTAACTAAGAATAAGTAAAGAACTGAAGAAAAAAGAAAGCAATGCTCTATCCATCATGGACAGGGAGTGAAAGAACAAATACCCTTTTTTCAGTGTGTTACTTACACACTTATTTATTTCAACACATTTATTTAGAGCTTACTATGGTGCCTGGCACTGTGCAAGGCACTGAATATACAGTCATGAAGAAAACAGGTTTATTCCCTGTCCTTGTGAGATTCACAGTTTAGAGAGAAAAAATAGGCAAGAAAATAAGTGAACAAACCCACAATTACAAACTGTGGTACCTGCTCCAAGGGAAATAAATATTGTGCAGTGACAGAGAATAATGGTGGGGAGAACTCTATAAATTGATCTGGAAAAACCTATCTAAAGAAATGACATTTATGCAGAGAATTAAAGGGAAACAAGGAACTAGATTTGCAAAGTATGGGAGAGAATATTCCAGGATTGTATGGAAGGCCATGAGGTAAGCAAAGTGGCATCTTTGAGGAACTGGAAGAAAACCACATACACTGACATGGAAGGATATACTATTAAGTGAAAATGGTTGCAAAAGAGTGTATATAGTCCAATACCATTTTTGATAAAGAGATACATATACTTATATGTATGTTAGTACATAGAAAATCAAAAAGAATATAAAATAAGCCGTTAATGATTATTTTTGGACGTGGATTGTAGTGGACTTTCACTTCCTATTTCATATATATTTCTGCATTATTTAGATTTTTGGACAATTTTGTATTCAGGATTTGCTAGAGGTAAATATTAAAATTAAGTTCTATATGATTGTATGCTTCTGTCACATAACTTTTCCCCAACTTCGCTAACTTTTCATTCCTGTTCACTAGCTTTGCCTGTTCCCTATAATGTATTTTGTTCTGCCTCCTGTTGTCTCTGGCATTTTATGTAATTAAGAGAGACTTATCTACCATAAATAGAACATTACAATTAAGATTTAATATGAAACTGATATGACACTGTTTAATACATTAGGAGCACACAGGCAAAAATCTATTCTCAGATACTGACACTAAATATTTTAAATTACAGCATATGCATGTTAAAAAATGTATCTGCTAACTAACTTTTAAAAGTAAGGGGGACTTCCCTGGTGGTCCAGTGGTAAAGAATCTGCCTTACAATGCAGGGGACACAGGTTTGATCCCTGGTCAGGGAACTAAGATCCCACATGCCTCAGAGCAACTAAGCCCCTGTGCCACAACTACTGAGCTCATGCGCCTCAACTAGAGAGCCCGCCGTGCCACAAACTACAGAGCCCACGTGCTCTGGAGCCCTCATGCCACAACTACAGAGCCCATGCGCCCTGAAGCCCGCGTACCACAACTAGAGAAGAGAAAAACCCGTACACCACAACTAGAGAGAAGCCCGTGCACCACAAAGAAGATCCCGTGTGCCGCAACTAAGACCCAAAGCAGCCAAAAATAAATAAAATAAATAAATCTTAAAAAGAAAAAAGTAAGGATGGCCTCATAAAAATTGCATAACTTTTGGAAATACAATAGGAGGATTATTTTCCTTTACTTTAAGCATAATAATTTGTGGCAAAATTTTAAAATAATTACAGCTATGCTTAGTGAGCGTTTATTATGCTCTACTGTTTAGATACATTATTTCATCTTTTTTCAACTTGTACAATAAGTGTGGTAAATACTGTCCCCAGTTTTCAGATTAGCAAACTGGGGATTAGAGCAGTTAAGTAAACTTCATTTATTCAATGCATAATTATTGAGCACTTAATGTTTAAAGAACTAGGAATGTAGAAGTAAACAAAATGTGTAGTTTATAACCTGGAGGTTGATGGGAGTAGTATATAAACAAACAAATATGTACATAACATAATGTGTGGAGCATTGAAGTGTCATGAAGAAAAGTAAAGTGAGATAAGGGAAGGAAAGTGACGAGAAGCCCACGTTGGGTTAGGTGGTGGGGAGTGAGCTCTGCAGAGATATTTGAGCAGAGTCCTGGATGAAGTGAGGAAGTGAGACCTGTGTAAAAGGCTTTCCCAACTGGGAAGTAGCAAGTGTGAGAAGGAAAAGCAAGGATGCCAGAGTGGCTGGAGCAGAGTGAACAAGAGAAAACTCTCTGCTGAGTGTGATGGGCACTGGATGATTTGAGCAGGACAGTGATGTGATCTGATTTACAGCTATAAAGCTTACTTAGACTGCTCTGCGGAGAGTAAATTACAGAGGAGCAAGAATAGAAGCTGGGTGACCTCTCAGGAGCCTATGGCAGTGGTCCAGAGGAGAGATGATGGTGGCTTGGCTTAGACTGATAACTGTGGAGGTGGTGAGAAGTGTCAGATTGACTTGGTTTGTATTTTGATAACTTCATGCGTGTTCATGATAGTGTGGCCAGAGATGAGGTTTTATTTGTATACATATCTAAATTTTTCTTGAAAACAGTTGACTTACAGTGTTGTGTTAGTTTCAGGTGTACAGCAAAGTGATCCAGTTATGATGAGGTTATATTTCGAAGGTGGAGCTGACAGCATTGCAAGAGGTCACACAGCTAGAGGATGGCAAAGTCAGGACTGAAATCTAAGTTTGTCTGTTTCTACAGCTCTACGTAGCACAGCTCTTCCAGGCTGCCACAATGCTAAGTAAACATTAAGCAAAAAGCAGAATGGAAATGAAAGTCCATAGCAGCTTCAAGTGTTTATCAAGTACCTACATGCTTGAAGTAAGGCTTCATGGCACAAGGCAAAAAACTGCGGACTGGATGGATAGGAGGTTAGGAGATCAGAGTTCAGATTCTGCTTTTGCCATGGATTCTTCCTCGGCATGGGTCACATGACGTCTAACGTCCCTTTAAGCTTTAAAGCTCCCAGTTTGTGCTATTCGGCCCCTGGGGAAACAGCCAACTAGTAACAGCGCCAACCACGGGTATACAAGGGAAGATACGATTGATAAGCATATGATTAACATACTGGTTATTGTAAGAGTAGATGAGAGGGGGCAGGACTAGACTGTCTCTTCAGTTTCAGTACTATTTGCTTTAGTCAAGGTATTTGGTTTTAGTATACTGTATTACTTTCAAGGAGAAGAGAAAGCAAGTCCATATACTGCGTCATTCCAACCTACAGGATGTACTAGAATTTTAGTCCTCATTCATCCAAATAGTCAAGCATTCATTCCCTCAACAAGCATTTAAAACCTATTGAGTATTAGGCATACTCAGTAGCATTTATTGAACAAATCCAGGTGAAGGAAGGCTTTGATAAAAAGTTAAAAAAAGAAAAAAGAGAACTTTTTTAGACTTTACAGTTGGTTTTTTAAGGCTGTACAACAATCTTGTAAGGTGCTGCCCCGCTTTTTTTCACGTTATAAAACTAAGACCTCAAAAAAAAAAAAAAAAAAAAAAAAAAAACCCTTTACAAACAAAAAAAAAAAAAAAAAAAAAAAAAAAAAAAAAAAAAACAACTAAGACCCAGCACAACCAAATAAATAAATAAATAACAAAACAACAACAAAAAAAACTAAAACGTGAAGCAGTTTCCCAAGGAGGGTCAGTACTTTACCAGAATTCAAATCTGGGTCACTTGACCTTCTGTCTCACCATATAGGATATTAGGACAGCAATCAAGTCTAGATGGGGTGTAGGACAGTGTATGCACTATACTGACTACCGTGCAAGTGTCCAGCACGAGGTGATCAGTGATTTAGAACACAGGTCAGCATACTTTTTCTGTCAAGTGGACCATTACAGTGTCTGTTGCAACTACTCAACTCTGCCCTTGAAGCACAAAAGCAGCTGTAGGCAATACATAAACGCGTGAGTATTGCTGTGTTCCAGTAAGACCTAATTTATGGACACTGAAATATACATTTCTCACTCGTCACAAAATATTCTCCCTTGGATATTTTTTTCAATCATTAGAAAATGTAGAAACCATTCTTAGCTTGAGGGCTGTATAAAAACAAGCGACAGGCTGGATTTGGCCTGTGGGCTTGTGCTAGTCAGTTTGGGCTGCTATAATAAATAGCACAGACTGGGTGGTTTAAACAACAAACAATTATTTCTCACAGTTCTAGAGAGTGGGAAGTCCAGGATCAAGGTGCTGGCAAATGTGGTGTCTGGTGAGAAACTTCTTCCCAGTTTGCAGACAATGGCCACCTTGTTGCTGTATCCTCACATGGTGGAGAGAGATCATCTCTCTCATCTTTCTTCTTCTAAGAGCACTAATCCCATTTATAAAGGTTCAACTCTGATGACCTAATTACCTCCCAAAGTTTCCAAATACCATCACATTGGGGATTAGGGCTTCAACATTTGAGGGGGGACACAAATACTCACTCCATAGCAGTTTGTGAGGGGAGCTCCAGCATCCGTGAAGGGCTCTGTGATCGCTCTTCTCTGTAGGCCAGACCTTACAGTGGGAACTGTAGCCACTGAATTGGGGAACCTAAATGCAACAGGAGTAATTGGGTCCTAGGGTTGCAGGGACCAAGTGGCGGCACTGGTGGACAGCAGAGTCAGAGCAGCAATCCGGATAGTCTGACTTGTGCAGACCTATGTCATTGGCTAGTTGATCATGGTATTCCTAGAAATGAAACAGATAGGAAACCTACGAAATTCTTTTTTTTTTGCTGTACGCAAGCCTCTCACTGTTGTGGCTCTCCCATTGCGGAGCACAGGCTCCGGACGTGCAGGCTCAGCGGCCATGGCTCACGGGCCCAGCCACTCCGCAGCATGTGGGATCTTCCCGGACCAGGGCACGAACCCGCGTTCCCTGCATCGGCAGGCAGACTCTCAACCACTGCGCCACCAGGGAAGCCCTAAATTCTTACTTGAACAGTATCAGTAGAAAAGTTCTAGGTCAAGTAATCAAAAGTCTAACCTGAATCATAAAAAGAGAGTCATATCCCTTCAATCAATTCCCAGACTTGAGCTGGCTTACAGACCTCAGTACCCCTTAAATAAAGAAGAGGCTACATCCCCGACAGAAAGGACACTGGTACACCAGCCAAAGTTTATACAGTTAATCTTTCTCCAGACCTCATTCACCAAAGGGACTTACAACCTTTTAGCAGGGTAACTGTGCACTGGGGAAAAAGAAATAATCAGACCATTTGGGGACTACTGGATGCTGGCTCTGAACTGACATTAATTCCAGGAGATCAAACTGGTAGACCCACTGTGGTCTACCAGTTACAGAAGGGGCTTATGGAAGTCAGGTGATTGAAGGAGTTTTATCTCAAGTTTGTCTCACAGTGGGCCCAGTGGGTCCCCAAACCCATCCTATGGTTATTTCTCTAGTCCTGGAATGAGGAATTAGAATAGATACACTGAGGGATTTCCCTGGTGGTCCAGTGGTAAAGAATCCGCTTCCAATGCAGGGGACACAGGTTCGATCCCTGGTGGGGGAACTAAGATCCCACATGCCGCGGGGCAACTAAGCTCACGGTGCCACAAACACAGAACCCATGCGTCCTGGAGCCCACACGCCACAACTAGAGAGAAACCCACACGCCTCAACGAAAGATCCCACATGCCGCAACTAAGACCCGACACAACCCCCCCTAAAAAAAAAAATAGATACACTGAGCACCTGGCAGAATCACCACATTGGTTCCTTGACCTGTGGAGTGAGGACCAGTATGGTGGTAAAGGTCAAGTGGAAGCCAGTAGAACTGCCTCTACCTAGGAAAATAGTAAATCAAAAGCAATACCGTATTCCTGGAGGGATTGCAGAGATTAGCACCACCGCATCCCCACTCAACTTGCCTGTTGGCCTGTGCAGAAGGCAGACAGATTTTGGAGAATGACAGTGGATTACTCTAAGCTTGACCAGTTGGTGACTTCAGCTGCAGCTGCTGTACCAGATGTGGTTTTTATTGGTTGGGCAAATTAATATATCCTCTGGTACCTAGTGTGCAACTATTGATCTGACAAATGCTTTTTTCTTGATACCTGTTAGTAAAGACCACCAGAAGCAGTTTGTTTTCAGCTGGAAAGGCCAGCAATGCACCTTCACAATCCTACATCAGGGCTAAATCAACCCTGCAACCCTATGTCATAATTAGTTTGCAAGAATTTTGATCACCTTTTTCTTTCACATCATATCACACTGGTCCACTGGTCCATTACATTGAAGACATTATGCTGATCGGGCGTAGTGTGCAAAAAGTAGCAACTACTCAACTTATTGGTAAGACATTTGTGTGTCAGAAGGTGGGAAATAAGTCTGAGAAAAATTCAGCAACATTTCTTCTTCCATGTCAGTGAAATTTATAGGAGGTCCAGAGGTGCGGGGCATGTTGAAATATCCCTTCTAAGGTGAAGGATAAGTTGTTGCATCTGGCCCCTCCTACAAACAAAAAAAGAAGTCTAACACCTAGAGGGCCCCTTTGGATTTTGGAGGCAACATATTCCTCATTTGGGTGTGTTACTCCATCCCAAGTGGTAGCGGCAGATAGGAATGCTGTTTGGAGCCTTCGGCAGGGCCCTATAGGGAAATCACAGCACAGGTCCTCAGGATTTTGGAACAAAGCCCTATCACCCTCTGCAGATAACTACTCTCCTTTTGAGAAACAGCTCTTGGCCTGCTACTGGACCTTAGTAGAGACTGAATGCTTAACTATGGGTCACCAAGTTACCATGCAAGCTGCTCATTGTGAACTGAGTGCCATCTGGTCCACCAGACTGTAAAGTTGGGTGTGCATAGCAGCATTCCACCATCAAATGGAAGTGGACTATACATGATAGGGCTGAGCAGGCCTTGAGGCACAAGTGAGTTACATGAAGAAGTGGCCCAAATGCCCATGGTCCCCATTCCTGCTATACTGTCTTCTCTCTCCACCATGTGAGGATTCAGTGAGAAGGTGGCTGTCTGCAAATCAGGAGGAGGGCCCTCACTGGACACTGAATCTGCCTGCACCGTGACCCTGGACTTCCCAGCCTCCAGAACTGTGAGAAATAAATGTTTGCTTAAGCTGCCCAGTCCACGGCCTTTGTCATAGCCACCCAAACTAAGACAGAAATAGTAGTTTGCCAATCCCTGATCTAGCATTCAGAGGAGCACTGTCCAATAGAACTTTCTGTAATAATGGAAATGTTCTATATCTACACTGTACAACATAGTTGCCACTAGCCACATATGGCTATTGAGCGCTTGGAGTATGACTAGTGCAACAAAGGAGCAAAAATTTTAATCTATGCTTCTTTTTCATTCCTGGAGCCTTTTACCACTTCTTTAAGGATTAATACAGTTTCCCAACCAGTTTCCCTGTCTCCAGTTTTACTTTCCTCCAATCCATCCTTGCTAGAGGGATTTTTCTAAAATATATGATGCTGGCACTTCTCCAAAGCAACATTTCCTGGAAACTTTAGAAAGAAATTCAGCCTGTTAGCATGACACATAAATCTCTTCATTAGGAAATCACAAAGAGGTAAAACACCTTCCTCTGTTTCATCAGATAAGTGATGATAAATTTCTTGAGGGTAGTCCTTTATCATACTTTGTCTCCACTAACATTTCACACAGTGGCTTGCTGAATGATGCAGGAACGAAAACTTGATTTTGCCCATGGAAAGCTTAAGTTAGAACCCCATTTCTGGTACAGTCTAGCAGAGTCACCACAGGCATTTAATCACCTTGAGCCTCATTATATTTCTTTTTTTTAAAATAAATTTATTTATTTATTTTTGGCTGTGTTGGGTCTTCATTGCTGTGCACAGGCTTTCTCTAATTGCAGCGAGTGGGGGTTACTCTTCATTGTGGTGCACGGGCTTCTCATTGTGGTGGCTTTTCTTGTTGCGGAACATGGGCTCTAGGCACGCAGGCTTCAGTAGTTGCAGCATGCGGGCTCAGTAGTTGTGGCTTGCGGGCTCTAGAGCACAGGCTCAGTAGTTGTGGTGCATGGGCTTAGTTGCTCTGAGGCATGTGGGATCTTCCCAGACCAGGGCTCGAACCCACGTCCCCTGCATTGGCAGGCGGATTCTCAACCACTGCACTACCAGGGAAGCCCGAGCCTCATTATAGGATTGTTGTGATGATCAAATGAGTTTGTGGAAATCCTCTGCTTTTAGTAAAAGGCTATACAAATGCTAGTTGTTGTTATAATAAATATTGGGTTTTGAAATGTTTCTAAAAAGCAGTACTGGGGATTCTCTGGAGGTCCAGCGGTTAGGACTTGGCACTCTCACTGCCGGCACTGGGTTCCATCCCTGGTCCGGGAACTAAGCTACTGCAAGCCACTGCCAAAAAAAATAAAAAATAAAAAATAAAATAGAATAAAATAAATAAAAAGAAGTACTGGCCTGATTTTACCTAATATATGTTCTGACTTTTAAAGCCAATCTGCATGAGATGACAATATAGATATAGGCCTTAGATGTTCAAAGGAAAGAGGGATGAAAAGGCATAATTTTGGCCCATTTATTCCAAACATTCCTTTGGATTACGCATTTTTCGGTCTAAGACTGCTTTCTTCAGTTTTGTTTTACTAAACAAAAATGTCAGCAATACCAATAGACAGTTGATTTTTTTTTTTTTTGGCCACGCAGCATGCAGGATCTTAGTTTCCCAACCGGGGATCAAACCCACACGCCTTGCATTGGAAGAGTGGACTCTTAACCACTGGACCACCAAGGAAGTCCCAACAGTTGATTCTTGAGAGTTAAATGACAATGGCATCATATGAGCAGCTCAGAAAAGAAAGAAAAAGTAGTAATATCTTATTTTTAAGCATCTACAGGGACTTTTCAAAGGGGACTTTCTCAGTGAGTTCTCCTAGGAGTAGGAGGAAGGTCACTGCTTTAGATAAGAAAATAAGGTAAAGAAACAATGTTAACATACAGGCAGAAGTGGTAAAGGACAATTTACCTTACATAGGCAGTGGTCTCTTACCTTCCCTAGGGACATCCTGATCACAGGATTTATAAGATTAAGTATACTTTTCATTAGACCATATTACACTTTGCGATGAATTTATATCACTAATTCATTTCTCAGTTCTTGAAATGAGACTCCACCATCTTAAAACATGGAAAAAGAAGGCACTGTTTGTGATCAGTATGCTGTTTTTGGTGAAGGACAGTAAAGATTTATTATTCCTTGAACTTAAGGTTGCCAAAGCACTTGATGGATGTGTCAGATCACTTAGAATGTGTGGCTGTCTCTGTAAAACCCACTTCACTCTCCAGATTAAGATTTGTTGGAAGACAGGGACTTGTTTCACTGAAATTTGCATGTTTGTCTCACCCTGCTTCAGATTAGTTGCCATATGCGTAGAATATAGTAAATTACATTAGCAAACTGGTGGCCATTCCTGCTTGTTCCCTGCGGTATGCAAGTTTGCAATCTCCACTGACCACTCTGTAAATTCACGTCAAACACATGAATGATATTCATAGGGTAATCATGAGGATTCCTTAACCGTCCACCTTGTGGGGATCTAGAACACTGTCTTTGAGCCCAAGAGAGGAATTGCCGGTTCCATCCCCAAACTGCCATGCGCCCCAGGTAACAAACCCTGCAGCTACCATGGCATTTCCTTTCACTCTGACACCTCATCATCCAATCCTCGTGGTATTCTCTTCCATCTCACTCTTTGCAGTTCATAGGCTTTGATATATTTTAGATGTTCTTAAAAATTTTAACAGTCTAATCAGAACTTTTCATATCTTAGTTACAGACACCCTCCCCAAGAAGAAGAAGACCCTAGGCAAAAGAAAGCGAGCACTGAGGAAGGTGAGACACTGGTATCTAAACTGGAAACCTGGTCACTTTCCACAGCAAGCAAGGCTTGTACTGGGAGGGGGGATTGGAAGACGAGGACCCCACGTGACCTCGGGGGCCCGAGGCTAGCCGACCCCGCCCCCTCCCTCGCCGCCGCCGTGGCCGCCGGGGGGCGCATGCGCAGCCCATGGTAGTGATGGAGGAGAGAAGATGGCGGAAGCGGAGTGAGTTACTTGCTGGTGACTAATGTCGTAACCGGGGGGCGAGTGGGGGGCAGCGACACGTCCCCTTGAGCTCAGGGCTCTTTCGCGGGCAGTGCGGGGAAAGGGGGACGTGAGAGTTTTCTTATCGTGGAGGACCCCGCTTGGCCCTTGTGGGGAGACGGAGGAGAACTGTAAGGGTCCAGTTACCTCCAGGCGGGAGCGCCCCTTCCGCCGTCTGTCCCCGGATTTGCGGGGCCCTGTGCGCAGGGTTGTCCCTCGGACCCCGACCGTAGGAATCTTCCGGAAGATGAGCCCGACTGGACCCCTCAGGCGCTGTCATCCCTGCAAGTGGGCCCCGCGGGCAGCCTTGTGACGGCTGCCGAGCCGGGGGCCCGCGGAGGCTGGGTAGGGCTGGGCGGGCACTGCCAGGCCTCCTTCGCGCTCGCCTCCTTCCCCCCCCCCCCACCCCGCCACCCCGCCCAGCGCCACCCCACTGCTTCTCAGTGGGAGAACGCGAGACGTGGGGCTGCTCACCGCCCTCCCCCGGGAGGCTTGGAGGAGGTGTCGCAGCGCCGACCTTGCAGCGGCGGGGTCTGTTGCGAGTCTGACGAGGCTGAAAACACCCTGCAAGGAAAGATCTTCCTTTCCTTCGGGTCTCTGGCTGCAGTGTTGATGCCGCCCTAGAGGGCCACATTCCTGTGTGGCGGTGTGATGGTATGCTTAGTTAGCGACTCAAACTTAGTGTTTCCTGGGTAGGCCGCTGGTGCAGCAGAACTGCCGTTTGTATTTTGCAGGCAAAACTGTGCGTAGACGGCGGAGTTACCAAAATTGTTCTTTTGTGCCAGGTCTCCAAATGCAGTGCACTGGTTTGGCCGGTTCTACCCACCGATGTTTAGACCTGTGTCTCGCATTTGGATTCTCTGTGACCATATTTAGTTAGTTACTGAACTGCTTACCGTAGGGTTTGAGGTTGGGCACATGGCTGAGCAGAATAGCACTGTAAGAGGACCAGAATTTAAGCTGGCTTTTTGCATATCTTTGGTACGTGGTTCAGAAGTGCTATGACAGGTAGTAATTTGGTAAAAAGTTTATCTACCGCTATGTCTGTATGCTGTTGAACAGTTACCATATGATGCTGTGATTTGATGATTGGAAGGCAGTTTGCAAAACTACAAACCGCCCTCCCCCCCCAAAAAAAACCCCAGCGAAATATAAAGATGTGTCATTTACTAATCAAAATAATTAGTAAGAGTCAGCTCCCCCCCACTTTTTTCCTTTCACTTTTCCTCTTATTAAATCGGGATTGTTTTTTAACCATTTGATTTCTGAAAGAGCACATAAATACTATTTACATACATGATATAAAGAACAAAGAAAATTTTTACATAAAAGGGCACCGTACGGGAATAGTGCGTGCATACACAGTTAGTGCCAAATTCCTTTGTCTTTTCATGAAGTAGAAAGTGTTCTTGTTACATTCTTGTCAATGCTGCTTCTATGAGGTGGGTCAGGTTTTGTCTCTCAGAAGAAAAGACTGATAAGAAAAGCAGATAAAGCCAGTATATTCTCAAGTGTGCTTTTCACCATTGTGGTGCGTTTCTGACCCTTCAAAAAAATACTGTAGTTCTCGTTTCTAACAATATTAAGCCCCTCAGAATTGACTTAATATGTTGTTTGAATTTGTTAAAATACAGTTTCTGTATTTAGTGGAATTTTGTACCACAGCAGTGAAATGAGTTTGTAATATTGTAGGGAAAAGAATCAGTGTGGTACAAAACTGCACTTTACTGTCCGTACATGAGGAAAGTGACATAATTATGCTGTTTTCAAAATTTGGAGCTATTATTTGTGAAAAAGAGATTTTTGTAAGGAAGTGGGGAAATTGTTTTCAGCTGCTTCTCTTATTTACCCAGTCAGAGTAATGTGCTTATGAGTATTACTCAGTTATTACATGGAGTGAGGACAATGTTGTAGAATAATTAGAGGGAAAGCAGTGTGAGTTAATAAATTATTTTTAAAATTATTTTCTAAGAGAGCTTACTTTTAAATAAAGTATATATGGTAACCAAAAACTAAGCTAATTGACTAAGCTAAACTACTAAACTAAGATAACACAAGTCCATAGGCATCCTATTTTAATGTCTAGATAAGAATGACTTTAATATGTAATTAGTATGGTCACAAGGATATAAAGAAATATTTTAATACTCTGACATTGCTTCAGTTTTAATTTTCCTAGGTAGTTAAGTATTCCGTCATCACCTGTTTTGGTTTCAAAACACTCATCTTCCTTCAACAATAAAAAGGTAACTTTAGGCCAGGCTTTATCTGAGTTACATATCCTGAGTTATTTGAATTCAAATTTAGTAGGTATGAACCATTAAATATGCTATATATTTGTGAAGTATTTTTCCCGGGCACGTATTTATGGTGACTGTGTGCTCTCTGTATTTAATGAGGGCCTTCTTAGAAATTTAGACTGTTGCTGATTATTTCTTGGAATAATTATTCTTTAAACACCACAAGATAATGCTTTTGCCAATATAAATCCTTTGTGTTATCTGCTAGGTTTAAGGACCACAGTACAGCTATGGATAGTGAACCAAACCCTGGAACATCTTCGGTATCGACAACAACCAGTAGCACTACCACGACCACCATCACCACTTCCTCCTCTCGAATGCAGCAACCACAGATCTCTGTCTATAGTGGCTCAGACCGACATGCTGTACAGGTATTTCAGTTACCATGATGCATAGGCTAAGACTGAGGATGTCATTACTTTTTGCTTAAGCCAGATGAATCTATTGTTTCATGTCCTCAAATGAGTTACGTGATACTCTCTAAATGAGTACAGTTAGAATTGTTCATGTTTGGAACAACCAACAGAGTTATTGAATAATCATTCTATTGAGAGGGCCTACATTTGTCAGCGTGTAGCTTATAAAACAATATGTTGGGAAAATTATAATTGGAAGGTCTCTAGGTACTGCTACAACATTGACAAACTCAACCAAGAGCCCCAACATGAAGAATGGCTCTAGGTTTTTCTGATTATTTTACATTTGAACCCAAAATATGGACTTAGGATCTATTCAGATCTGTTCAGCTCTGTAGATACATTAAGAGGTTCATTTTAAACCCAAGTGGCCTAAGAACCCTAAACAGGAGGATCCATTCAAGAGCTCTAAGGGGCAGAGGAGGAAGGGAATATTTAATTAGGAAAAGTCTTAGGCTCTTCACTTAGTTGGGAAAATAAAGTTTACGTCGTTAACCTTTATAATAATGGAGGTTGAGGTAATATGATATAGCGTGAAAAGGGCATGGGCATTGCAATCTGATGTGCTCTTTGAATTCCATTTTCTTTATCATTAGTAGGTATGTAGCCTTGGGTGAGAGGCATAATCTCCTTGAGCCTCAGGAAACTGAAAAATGAGGATGAGACCACCTGCTTAGTTAGTGATGAGGAGTAAAGGAAGCATCTAGAATTGTGTGGGGCACATTATATATACTCAGTAAACAGTAATAGCTCATACATACTGAATACTTGCTGTGTGCCAAGCATTTGATACGTTCTTTATATGGATTTTCTCCATTTAACAAATGGGAAAACTGATGTTGTAAATTGGCTAAACAACTTTCCTAAACTCACATAACTAGTTGGTACTGTAGCTTTAGAGTTGTGCCCTTGGGACTTCGCTGGTGTCCAGTGGGTAAGACTCCGAGCTCCCAATGCAGGGGGCCCAGGTTCGACCCCTGGTCGGGGAACTAGATCCCACATGCATGCCGCGACTAAGAGGTCCGCATGCCGCAGTGAAGATCCTGCATGCCATGGCTAACTTACTTGTTTGTGATGTAGTCATCTCCCTGATACATTTTTCTAGAGTGGAGATCCCAGTATACTGGCTATTTAGCTGTTCTGTGGCTTAGGATTCTGAAGCTACTGTGGAGCAGAATCAGAATTGTTGGAGACCTAGTCAGTTCAGTAAGAATTCAAACTGGAATGGAGAGTGTGTTTTTAATGTTTTTCACCTTTCTCTGAGGCAAGGGATATAGGGAAGAGTATCTAGAGCTTGAGCATACAGATGATGTGACATTTTAAATGCCATTTTGTTCTCTAGCTTTACCTAAGCTGGATGTGTTAATAAAAAAAAGTTATTGAAGATGTGTAGATACAGATATATCTCACAAATAGCACTAACTCTAATTCTTATGAGATCATAGAATTGCTTCCCTTTAAATGTAACCAAATCAATATTTACTGAACTACCTAAGTAGTTCTTTAATACCTTTCAGCTTTCTTTTTCAGTCCTGAGAATCCTCTTCCCCTTCTTTGCTCCTTCATAGGAACAAAATAAGAACAATATGCTGTATCTTTAACTTGCATTTAAAGAGTCTCTCTCCCATGAGTACAGTGTTGAATCGTAATGAAAGACTGTGCTGACAATAGAAAAAAATTACTATACTCTGACAGAAATATGTGCCAAATAGGTTATTCATTTTTTATTTCAGTTTGATTTTAGAATTTTGTTATGGAATTAGAAGAACATATATAGATTTACCTGACGAAAAAGACATATTGTTGTGATTCTAAATCACAATGCAGATCTATAGTCCCCTGCAGCTAGGTGTCAAAAGCCTACATTGGTTTTGTGACAGGAGTCTGCAGTAGGTATAGCAGCCGTTTTTTTTTTTTTTTTTTTTTTTGCGGTACGCGGGCCTCTCACTGTTGTGGCCTCTCCCGTTGCGGAGCACAGGCTCCGGACACGCAGGCTCAGCGGCCATGGCTCACGGGCCCAGCCGCTCCGCGGCATGAGGGATCCTCCCAGACCGGAGCATGAACCCACGTCCCCTGCGTTGGCAGGCAGACTCTTAACCACTGCGCCACCAGGGAAGCCCGGTATAGCAGTCTTTTGTTGGGGAATTGAGATATGAACACACAAAGGTAAAAAACACAAGGAAATATGCTTTCTTGGAATTTGGATAAAGAGATTCATAGGTTTGTGGTAAAGGTGTCCTGACTCAGAAGCTCAAGCTGTAGGATTATGGCTCTATTACTCCCTTAGCTCTTTGAAAACTCTGGTTTGATGCTGAGATTTAGGGTGCTGTTTCAGAGTCATCATGGGCATGATGTGACTTTAGGATGTGTTTGCAGAGTACTGTAAGTCTGACTCACCATTTGGACAGATAAAGGATTTTCCTCTTATTAGAATACTTGCTTTTCTATACTTATCGATTTATGAAGTTCAGGTTCATAGTTTTCAATAGTCACAGTCATTAACACTTTACCAGGAATTTTTTTTTTAGTAAGAACAGTTTTATTCTGTTTTGAAACAGTTGAATCTGACATTTAAAAAACATTTTAAAACATTTTAAAAAGTGATTATTTAGTAATTTTCTAAAAAAATAGCTTTATAATTTTAAGTGGTTATTAATATAATGAAGCTAAGTATTTTCAGACATTTAAAGAAAAATACAAATGAGAAGGTAAAAATCACTTCTAATCTAGCTACCCGTCAGTAGTCTTTTAATGTTTTCCTGAATATTCTTTAAAATATTTTAATATAAATCGTATCTTACTCTATACACTATTTAGTAACCTGCTTTTTCACCTAATGATATATTTGGGAATTTTTTTGTTAATAGATATATCTGCTCTGTTCAATATAGTAGCTACTAGCTGCATTATTATAATTATTAAAATTATTTAAATAATTAAATAATTTAATTATTTAAATTATAATTAAAATTCAGTAAAATTAAAAACTTAGTTCCTTAGTTGCACTAGCCACCTTGCAAGTACTCAGTAGATTCGTGGCTGCTGTATTGGATGGCACTGATCTACATTGATATTCGTAATGCTTGCAGGGTATACATATCCTCGCTACACAAGCTGCAAATCCTACCAAGTTTTATCCAAAATGGTTATACCAATTTACATTCTTACTAACAGTGTATGAGAGTATCTGTTTCTCCAGTAGTAGTAGTATTCTTTTAAATCTTTATCCATTGGAAAGTTGGGAAATAGAGTCTTAATTTGTAAGTTTTGACTACTAGTGAGATTGAAGATCTTTTCACATGCTTACTTAGCACTTTTTCCTTTTGTGAATTGCCTCTACTGGGTAACTTTAATTTGTACAGATTAGGGAATCCTAGTGATATGTAACTAGGAGAGAACTATGTTAATAAGTTTGATGACATTGAACATTAAAGTAGTGAAATTTTATTTTAGTTTATTTTTTAACATTTTTTTTTAAAGTACATGCACAGACTCTAGACAATGCTATACCTTTTTTTTTTTTTTTTTTTACTTATTTTTATATTTGGCTGTGTTGGGTCTTCGTTTCTGTGCGAGGGCTTTCCCTAGTTGCGGCAGGCGGGGGCCACTCTTCATCGCGGTGCAAGGGCCTTTCACTGTCATGGCCTCTCTTGTTGCGGGGCACAGGCTCCAGATGCGCAGGCTCAGTAGTTGCGGCTCACGGGCCTAGTTGCTCCACGGCATGTGGGATCTTCCCAGACCAGGGCTCGAATCCGTGTCCCCTGCATTGGCAGGCAGATTCTCAACCACTGCGCCACCAGGGAAGCCCTTTTTAACATCTTTATTGGAGTATAATTGCTTCACAATGTTGTGTTAGTTTCTGCTGTGTAACAAAGTGAATTGGCTATATGTATACATATATCCCCATATCCGCTCCCTCTTGCGTCTCCCTCCCACCCTCCCTATCCCACCCCTCTAGGTGGTCACAAAGCATCGAGGTGATCTCCCTGTGCTATGCGGCTGCTTCCCACTAGCTATCTGTTTTACATTTGGTAGTGTATATATGTCAGTGTTACTCTCTCACTTGGTCCCAGCTTATCCTTCGCCCTCCTCATGTCCTCAAGTCCATTCTCTTAAAGTAGTGAAATTTTAAACTGCTGCTTTTTTAATACTTTATTTTATGGTTAAGATTATGGTTTGACATTGGTTCAATTGACTTATCACAGGTAATTCAACAGGCATTGCACCGCCCTCCCAGCTCAGCTGCTCAGTATCTACAGCAAATGTATGCCGCTCAGCAACAGCACTTAATGCTGCACACAGCAGCTCTCCAGCAGCAGCACTTAAGCAGCTCCCAGCTTCAGAGCCTTGCTGCTGTTCAGGTGAGACAGAACTGAATTAAGAACTTATGAGGCCAAAGTTGACATGACCTGCAGATAATTCCTGAAAATAAATATGTTGGTATTATTTTAGAGTTTTCAGGTGTCCTGTGATTATTTTTTCTTAAGGAAATATAATAGGCTGCCAGATTGAGGTTAGTTTAAAAACAAATGAATGTGTTTTATGTGTTACTCTATTGCTAACTTTTGTCCCTCTGCTTTTTAATCTACGTTGCAGCAATGCTATACTAATGTCATGGTTTTGTGTGTAAAATTTTAGGTACAACAGTGAATAGTTAGGGTTACATGAATCTTATCTACATTTTAACAAAAAAGGTTTTTTAAATTACATAAGTAATTTACACTCATTAAAAAAAAAACAAACAGTATAAAATTGACCATAAGAGGTAAAGTATAGAGGTATTCCTTTTCCATATCCCCTGCTATTTTCCACTCTTCAGAGGTGGCCACTAAAAGTTTAATATGTATCCCTCCAGGAATGTTCTGTATAAAAATATGTATGTACACTTTTCTAAAATCCACTCATATGATTCCTACTGCTAACAGGATGATTTTATGATTAAATGCTTATGTTTTTAAAAAGATCTTCAGTATTATTGCACTGTTTATTTAAATTAAACTGTATGTGAGATTTAATCTTAAATGTCCTCACCAAAGGAGAATCTCAGTTGACTGAACCTGAAAAAAGGTTTATTTCTGTTATAAACGCATCCCCAGCTGTTACTTCTTCTCGGTAGTGTAATTTTAAATAACGTCGTGTACATGATACGAGTAAGGAAACCGAAACCCACTGGTACTTGATATAGCTCCAATTTCTTTTTCATAACATTAGAGTAGTGATTTCACTTCAAAGAAGACTGAGACCTGTAGAGTAAAACTGACAATGACTGTGGCTATTAAAATAAGATTAGCCTTTGGGTCTTCTGTTTTCACTGTTCAGTGTTTTCTTTTTTTCTTAATCTGTTTGGCTAAAGCTTAATCCATGTTGACTGTAAAATAACTGTAAAATAGATGTTTTGACTTTTATTGTGGTTTTATGGTATCCTGGTACCAGAAAGTTTTTAACTTCAGGCTTTTATAGACATATTATAAAGATTTTATTATTTTAGGCAAGTTTGTCCAGTGGAAGACCACCTACATCCCCCACAGGAAGTGTCACACAGCAGTCAAGTATGTCCCAGACATCTGTAAGTGCCCGAAATTTTTTCCTGGTTTTAAAATTTTAAATTATTGCTTTCCAGAAGTGAACTGTTAATATTTACAAAACTGTTATTGTTTATCTGTTGAATATTATTGAAATAACAAGTGTCTAGAAACAAGAATGATACATTTCAAGAATTTGGAACTAATGTCAAACTTCTGAAAATCTGAGTCTTAAAAAAGTTTTTGTATTATTTCTTATGTATGTTTTCCCACTGACTGTGTTCACATCTTCTGTGATTCTGAATGATTGCAGTTTTCAGTGTGCATTGAAAGCATGAAACATATAATTCAGGGAATTAAGTCATACTTTTACTGTGATATACTAAAGAATGTCATGTCCTTGGTAGACATCTAAATGTTTCTAGCTCTTTCTGTGCAATTCACGTTTTAGAAATTTTACTTTTCAGTTTATGCTTACTTGAGTTATGTGGGTCAAATTTACAAGTATCCATTCAAGATAGTGTTATTTATTTTGGGAAAGGAGTAAAAGAAAGGTGATTTGTTATATTGCACATATATACTGGGAAATTGTGCAGAGTATCCCAGTTAAAAGAAATTTACAGGTGTGGTAATACTTGTTTAACTTTTTATTTTGATATAATGTCAAATTGCAAGAATAATAAAATAAATTTCTGTATACCCTTTACTCAGATTCACCAGTTGTTAGCATTTTGGCTCATAGCTTTATCATGCATTCTTTCTATCTACATATATACAGTTACCTTTTTCTGAACCATTTGTGGGTAAGTTGAGACATGTTCCTTTACTCCTAAATAACTTTGATATGTACTTCCTAGGAACAGAGTCATTCTTTTATGAAGCCACATGAAGTGGATCGAATTCAGGAAATTTAGCATTGATACAGTGCCGTTCATATACAGATTTCATCAGTTGTCCCGTATTTCTCAGCCTCATCACTACAGACATTATGGACCAGATAATTCTTGTAGGGGGCTATCCTGTGCGTTATAGGACATTAAGCAGCATGCCTAGCTTAGATACCAGTAGGCTATGCCCTCCTCTTTTCCCCAGTGTGACAGCCAAAAATGTCTGGAGGCACTGCCAGATGTTTCCTGAGGGGCCAAATTGCCCCTTGTTGAGAACCATTGAATTAACCTAATAACATCCTCTTTAGCTGTTTTTTCCTGATCCAGGATGGTCATACTTTGAAGCTTTGTAAAATTGAATCCAATGGAGTATAGTTTATAGATTGCTGAGGAATTGAAGATGAACTTGTGCTGTATTTCTTTAGCTAAGGTTGTGATCTTTACTAAGCACGTGTATGATGAGCATACAGTTATTTTTGGGCTATTGAGCTGATATTTTTAATTAAAAAATTACATTTTAGCATGGAAGTATCCTGGAATGTGAATAAAATTAGTTAAGAAAGAAATTACTTAACGACTTGAAAATGTTAGACTGAAGAAAATGAAAAATTTAAGTAATGTAATTTAGCCCTAAGCATTAATGCTATAGTTACGGATATTGATGTCAGATAATATCGTTAACTAATACATTGGTAGTTATGGAAAGGACTGGTAAACTGGCTAAAAAAATTATAGATAAATTCTTTATTCTGTGAAGTACTGGAATGGCATTAGGGTATATATGTATAGAGATATGTGGTCTGAATTTTTTTCCCTTCACATTATTAAAAGGTATCCTTTTAAACCATTTTTGTTTCATTATGATTTTATGTTTGTGACTTTTACAATCACAGTTTCAGTGATTGTGCTTATTTTTTATGAAATTGCTAGTGCTGCTTGTCATAAACCAGGTAGCCTTGTATGATGAAGAATGCCAGAACCTGTGCCTGGCTGGTGGGGGAAAAGAAGTAGGGAGAATAGAGGTCTAGAAAAAACACGGGAATAATACATAGCGTTTGTTCTGTTTTCCGTCCCAGCTGAGCAGTAGATCAATTGAGTGGACTTGCAGTCCAAATTATGATACTCAAGGTAACTTAGTAAATTTAGGTCAGTCTCCAAAAGAGGGGCAGAGCATGGTAGCAGAAATCTCTAGGCAGTGATAATAATGAGCCGTCAGGTGGCAGTCTGCTGGTTTTCAGAGTTTTGGTTATTTTGAAATAGGTTTCCGATAACAGTGAATGACATGAGGGAAGGGTCCAGCCTCCAGTAGATAAGAGGGCTACAAGGTAGGTTGTCAAGTCACCAGCCAGATAGGTTGGGGTTCAGAGTAGGAGTGGAATGCCAATGGGGGAATGGAATATTGTATTTTAAAAAACGAAGTAAGAAGTCCAATCATACGCCTGGGGAAACTGTGTATGTGGAGGAGACCATTGTTAATTGAATGTATAGGTATTTAGTGGTGGCAGCATCCTCTTCTTTACTGTCATGAGAACAGAAAGACTAATTCTAGGCTCTTACCAGTAGTGAGAGTGGTGGTTTTGTGTGTGTGTGTGTGTGTGGATGATTGATTGTCTCTAAACCTAGTTGGGACCAAGTCTTTAGGTTGATGTCTTTGTACTTCAATTTAGTGGGACTAAGATTTAGCCTTTAAATTTGATTTGCTAAAATGAAATCTAAGCCAGTTAAAAACTCTTATGCAAAAAAAAAATCAATAACGTTAAAAACCAGCAAAATGGTTGAAAATGTATTTGCACCATGTATGTCACCCAGCTTATATTTGTAAAATACCAAGGGCTCTGTTATATTAGTAAGATAAACAATGAGAATACATAAAAGACCTGCATTGGTAATTTTCAAAAGAAAGACTACTTTTGGCTTTTAAACACATGAAAATATATTAACCATATTAGTAATAAAGAAATGTATGTAAAAATAGCAATAACGTTCTATTTTCACTTGTCAAATTAGAAAACAGGGAAAAACATTGAGACAGTAACAGTTGTTGGCAAGTATGGTACACTCATACACTGTTGGTGGGAATGTATAATAATTGGTACAACTTTTCTGGAGGGTTATTTGGCAGTGTGTATGAAAATTTAAACTATGCGTGCCTTTTCACATAGCAGTCTGATTTTTAGTGATGTCATTGACTAAATATGAGAGATAATTATGACATAGATAATTATGCAAATATGCATGGTTTGTAATGGTGGAAAATTATAAACAATACAAATGTTCAGTAATTGAGGATTAGTTAAAAGATAGTTAATTCATACAGTGGAATACTATAGCTGCTTAAAAATGTTATGTGTGTGTATTTAAAGAGACTTAGGTTTTCATTAGTTATTAGGTGAAAAAAGCAAGGATATATCATCTCATTTAACTTATTTAATAGGTTATTCTATTTTTCAGTTCTAAAATTGCCATTTGCTTTTTCTTTGTATCTTCTGTTTCTTTTGCTGAGAGTTTATGTTTTCATTTGTTTCAAGTGGGCTCATAATTGCTTGTTCAAAGCATTTTTATGACCACTGCTTTAAAATCTTTGTCAGATAATTAAAATACTTCTTTCATCTTGGTGTTGGCATCTGTTTATTGATTGTCTTTTTCATTCAGCTTGAGGTCTTTCTGGTTCTTGGTACAATGAGTGATTTTTGATTGAAACCTGGACATATTGAGTATTATGTTATGAGATTGTGAATCTTATTTAAATTTTCTGTTTTGGCTGGCTTCTGAAAGAGCGTTTGCCACATCCTTACTGCCATTTGGGGGTAGAAGTCCAGGTTCCCCATTTGGTTTCCATTGATACCTGAGGGATGCTCCTTGTAATTGCTAAGTGAGCATGAATTCTGGCTCACTAGGCCTCTACTGAGGTATCTCTGGCTAGGAGGGATAGGAATGCTGCGTTACTGCTCCCCACGTGGTCTCCACTGATACTACAGGGATGGGGTGGTTTGTTGTTTGTGATCTTTTACTGCTTGGCTGGTATGAAAGTCTTGGCTCTCTACCTGGCCTTCTCTGGCACTAACCTGTTGGAAGGATTTATGGGATCCGGGTGCCTCATTACAGCCTGGCGAGGGTAGAAGCCTAGGTCTTTGCTAATGTGGATGTGGACGGGGCCATAGTGTTTTCTGTGGCGTTTGGCTGGAGTAGAGCAATTATTGCCTAAAAGTTTTCTGTGTTGCTAGGCTGTCCCTTTTCTGATCCTTGGCTAGAAAGAGCAGCCCATTGGAGGTTTTTTTTTTTTTTTTTTTTTTTGGTCTGTACCCACTGCTGTTTCTGGGTTACTGACTTGTTCACCTTTATGTTTGGGTTATATGAGATTTAAAAAGGAAACCCAGGGAGCTTGCAAGCACATCATTCACTGGGTCCTGGAGTCTGCTTTTCTCCACCTTTTAGGATCCTCTTACATTTATTTTATATGTAACATTCGGGATTTTTAGTTATACTTAGGGGGAGGAGTAGGGAGAAGCATGTCTATTCCACTTTCCTGGAAACAGAATTCCTATCATTTAACTTACTTTTAAAAATTTATATCTATATGTCTGTCTGGTTATGTAGGAAGAAAATCTGTAATACACAACAAATTTAATCAGTGGTTATCTTTGAGGAAGTAGGTTGAAGAGCTTCATTTTGTCTAAATAAAACATGAATATACTCTTGTTGTCTAAGATACTGACAGTACAGACAATATAGAGTAAAAGTGACATCCCATTTCAGTAGTCCCTTTTGCCCTGACAAAGTTTTATGTGAAGCTTTCCTATCTTATTACTGTACATTTCTATACATAAATGTAAATAGATAGGCCTATGGTTAATTTTATTTGTTTGTTTTAATGTAAGCGATCATTCTGTATCTTTCTTTTCTAAGTCTTTGGGCATTTTCAGCTGGAAAGGATTATGTGGCTAGAAATTGCAGTCATAGGTCTGTAAATGACTCAAAGGCTGTCTGTATCTCATTCCCTTTCCCTTTCTTTGCTGTTTTTTGGCCCTAGAATCTACATTAATCGCAGATGTTCTGACTTTAATTCACTGTATTATCCTGTCAAGAAGGAAGAACCTTATTTTTGATAGCTTTCTGGCTCTGGTGTCAGACAAAATGAGCGTTCTTTCTTTCTTTTT